GCCTCAGCCTTGCAGCAAAATAACTTGTTGCCACAAGAAGTAAAAGGCGGGCTCAGGGCAGGGTCGGAGCATCAGAAGGTTTTCAAATTTTTGGGCCCATGTCAAATCCGAAAGTCCCAAAAAACAAAACAAGCTTTGGCCGTGATTGCAGTTGGATACACTTTTAGGAGTACTGCCCTCAGTGAGGGCACTTCGGTAGAACGAGGAACAGGGGGAGCACTACTGTCAGACTCACAAAAAAAGAAAGAAAAAAAGCCCCTAAAAAACAAAACAAGCTTTGGCCGTGATTGCAGTCGGATACACTTTTTCGAGTACTGCCCTCAGCGAGGAACACGGGGAGCACGACTGTCAGACTGACAAAAAAAAAAAAAAAAAAAAAAAAACAGTGCTGGGCCGGCAAACGGCCGGTTGAGCTACCCCGGTCCAACCGGAGCCGGACCAGACCAGAGGGGGTGACCCGGGAAACCGGTTTTGAAAAAAAAGTGCCCAAATATCTTTTTTTTTTTTTTTTGGGCAGATTCCGACTGCGCTCTTCAAGAGCTGTCCGAATCCGCAATAAAATTTTTAAGGTACAACATTTTTCAGGGGGCTTCCAGAGGGGGACAGGGGATGATAATTGACATATTCAGGCTACTACGGCTTCCTCAGGGAGGGGTCAAGTAAGCAAGTTCACTTATCCGACCCCCCCGTCGCTGGAGCACTTCGTGGAGTATGTCATTTGATATTAATACCCCACGAGCTAAACCAGATATGATGAAAAGAGGTCCTTGCCCGAAATTATAGCTCTTCCAGAGTATATTTCGACAGCAGAAAAGTTATGGTTCCAGCTTTCTGCTCGTGGAGGCAGAGCGTTTTCTGTTTGTTGGTTCCTACATAAGGTGAGTTGTCAGTCCGAAAGTACGTTGTCTGGCAGTCTGTCCAGATACATGTAGTGGAGCAAGGTCCATTCGAGTTCGAGATAGATAGAGAGAAGAAATGCAAAACGAGAGTGAATCTTCCGCTAGAATTCGGAAAGATACACCGCCAAGATTTTTTTCTTTTGTGCATGACGAGAGTAGTGCAGCAACGCCCTATAGCTTAGGTCCATTCTTGGGATTGCACCTTGGACGGCTCTGAAATCACAATTCCAAAATCCGAACCCATAACTTTTTCCACAGATGGCAGGGACGTCGCAGAAGGATATAATCTCAGCACATGCTCATCAGAAGCATAGTGTTCCCCTCGAGGCTGAGGGTGGAAGAGCATCAGATGTTGCCAATGGTAACTGGTCCATTGGACCACCAGATGACAAATTGGATTAGGGGCCTACCCGACCCACATCTTAGGAAAAACGCATGGCTGTTCTCYGCTGCTGATCTGCACAGATCAGCGGCGGATATCCTCTGCCCGTTTTTCTTATAGAAATGGGGTCCTGGCCGATCTTTGCTGCTGATCTGCGACGATCGGCGGCCAAGATTGCCCACTTTCTGTACTTGAAAAATCCGGGCCTACAGGACCCGGTTTCGAAATTGCGGGCCAGGGCCCGCCCCCACGAGGCCTCGGGAACGAGCCGACAAAAAAAAAAAATTAAGCCCCCAGCGAAAATGCGGTGGGGGCAACCAGGAGGGAACTGGCCTGGGCCACCGGCCGGTCCAACTGGAAGGACCGCGGATGGGGTAGGGGTCCCCGGTCCATCCGGGGACCAGCCCTGAAAAAAAAGCCAACAAAGCTTTGGCCGTGAAAGTGGTTGGATGCATTTCAACAGCGCTAGTGTGAGTATGCCCTCAGCGAGGGCGTTTTGAGCAGAGGAATGTGCGTTGCCTTGCTGGCAGGGAAAGGAAGCAAAAAACAAAAGGAGAAAAAAAGTAAAAACAGCAATGTTTCCCCTCCCCGTAACGGTGGTCAGATGCATTCTGGAAGTGATCATTTGAGTATGGCCTCCGCCACGGCCTTCCAGGACATCATTGATATTTGGCATGTTTTTTCCTTTTTTTTTCCCCCTTCAGGTAGAACGCCGGCACCGGTGCCACTTCCGAAATTCCCACCGCAGGTACCCTCAAGCAGAAGGCGCGGAAAATAGAGGCGCGCAGTGGGCAGGTAGGTTCGGGATTTTAGGTGCGGGTGTACTGGTGGTTTAAGTCCTTAGAGGACAAGGAAATAGCCCCCTCAAGGAAAACATAAAATAATAAATCACGCCCAACAGAAGCCTAGGAAAAGCCTAGGGTTTCGGGTTTAAGAGAAGGCAAGAGGCAGAAAAAAACAGGACCGGCACGATATAGAGTATCTGCCACCCAATGAGCTGAGAGAAGGAATGGTAAGAAGAGGCACCAGATACAACCCCATAGAGTTTAACGAGTGGCAATTTCATATGGCTTTCCCAAACCCCAAGAGGACACCGGCCCAGAGAATTAGAGACGAACAGAAAAGCTAGGACAACCTCGATAATTCTACAGAAAGATCAGCTTAGAGCAGAGGGTTCCCTTAGTTTTTCAAGATTAGTGTAAGTTAACCCCCCACCCCCACCCCGACACTCACCGACCCTTCGACCCACCCAACCTACCACCCATCCTACCATCCATCCTACCCCTCCCCCAACCTACCCCCTTACCTCCAACTCCCCCGTCACCCTAATCCATCAGACTGATCTACTATCCCCTCTAAACGTCCCTTT